GCAAATGTTAACCAAGGTCGACCATCATAAAAAGCTACATCTGCTAAAAAAATTATGGAACAGATTTTAAATTTAACTGCACTACTTCATATCCAGACTGATTGTATATGCAACCTTGCCGGGCCTGAAATCTAGACGTTCTCAGGGCAGAAGAGATTTAAAAATGACTTTTGATTGATAAGCTGGATGCCAGAAGGATTTTGCCCCTGCTGGAAGTCTGTGTCAGTGAGTCTAAGTGGGGGATGCAGACATGGACACACATTTGGAAACTGAAAAGGTGCCTTCAGGGAAATAACTCCAAGTCTGCTGCAGTGGGCTTGGGTTGTTCTCCATGCTTCTGGGCTGACCTCAGCCCGTCCTGCCTACTGACAGAGCTCCCACTGGGCTCCACTGTGTGGAGGGAAAGGGGGTTACTCAGAGATCCTGGCCTTCCTTGGCTCCCCCAGCTGGGAAGCGATGAAAGAAAGAACAGGATCCAGGTTTACTTTTCTCCCCTTTTATTTATGTATTCATTATTTTCTTCAAAGTTGGTTATTTTGATTAGGAATATTTTTTTTTTCTTTCAAAAATGAGCTATGATCCAACTGCCCAGATGACCCCTGTTGACGTTAAAAAAAAAAGTTAATGGTGATAAAAACAAAAAGCTGTGTTTTTGCCCTAAACATTCCCAGTTTGTCTTTCCATAGGCACCACCATTCACAGCTTTTTTTGTAATATACTTCTAGAACTTGTTCCTTTCTATGCCTAGGTAGCTCTGTGGCAGGCACTGTGATGTGCCAGACGCCTGCTTCAGGACTGAAGGACTTATTCCCTCACCTGCAAGGAGGGCTCCCGGCAGATAGCACATGACGGTCGCCAGAGGTGGGGCTGGGGTGGAGACTGGAGAAAGTGGGGGGAGGTGGTCAAAGGTAGAAACTTCCTGGGGCACCTGGGTGGCTCAGCTGGTGAAGTGTCTGACTCTTGATCTCAGCTCAGATCTCAATCTCAGGGTCATGAGTCAAGCCCTGCTTGGGCTCCACGTTGGGCATGGAGCTTACTAAAAAAAAAAAAAAAAGGCAGAAACTTCCTGTTCTATGATGAATAAGTCATAGAGATGTAATGTGCAGCATGGACTAAAGTTAACGATATTGTAATTGTCTATTTGAAAGTTGCTAAGAGAGTAGATCTTAAAAGTTTTCATCATAAGAAAATAATTGTTACTATGTGAGGTGGTGGATGTTAACTAGACTTATTGTGGTGATCATTTTGCAATATGATAAAAATATCAAATCCTTACAGTGTACCCCTTAAACTAATACAATGTTATATGTCAATTATATCTCAATAAAATGAAAAAAAAAAAAAAGGAACAGTACAATGGGAGGAATCAGCAAGGAAATTTTCTAGGTTATATTTTTCCTTAAGTTAAATGTCTCAAAGTGGATATATAATCAATAATTACATAAACTGCAATTTGGAGGTCCTTGCAGGTTGGATTACCAGGAAAGCTGACTCTAAAACACAGAGTAGCGTGCAGAATACTTGTTCAAGTGTGCCTGTAAGAGCAGCACCTGTAGGAGAGTGGGGAAGGAAGCAGAACTGGGCTGAGGAAGAAGCTAGGCTGCCATGCAGTTTGGACAAAAGGGCTCAGGGGATCCTGTGGGAGTGCTGGAGCTGCCTGGTCTCGGCCAGCATCACCCCATGAGGCAGACCCCCTGGGAAGGAGCATCACCCTGGGCGAGCTGTCTCCCCTTTCTATCAAAAGCAGAAAAGGAAGAGCCCCAGAGATGGGATCCGTGCTGGTGGTGTCCACAGTGGGGGGTGTCGCTGAGGGCAGTGATATTGGAGACAGTTGGCAGAAAAAGCTGGCGAGGCTCCCTGGGGGTGGCTGCTTGGGACTGTGGCAAGGCTCTCCCGGTGGGCTCTCACCCATGGTGACCTCAGGGCCTTTCTCTGAGGCCAGGCCAGGCCAGGCGTGCCAGGAAGTTCTGCTGGCAAGATGGCAGCAGTGGACACAAGAGGCAATTAAAAACAGCAGGGACGCCTGGGGGGCTCAGTGGTTAAGCGCCTGCCTTCGGCTCAGGTCGTGATCCCAGGTCTTGGGATTGCGCTCCATGTCAGGCTCTCTGCTTCTCCCTCTCCCTCTGCCTGCCACTCTCCCTGCTTGTGCGCTCTCTCTCTGACAAATAAATAGTAAATAAATAAATAAAAATCTTAACAACAAACACAGATAGTTTCTGCTGAGGGTTTTCACGAGCTGGGCATTGATGGGCATGAACTCCATCCTTGCACCAAGTCTTGGTGGTTAGTACTATTATTATCACTGTATCACAGATTTGGAAACTGAGGCACAGAACTATTAAGAGACTCATCCAAAGTCATAAAGCAAATAAACAGCCATGTTGGGATTTGAACATTTAAGCCCCCAGTGGGTTTATGCAGAGAGTCACTTTGGGTACCACGTCTTGTGAATAGTTGCCTAAAGAGAAGAGGGTAAGAGAGACACCCAAAGATGACATTTTGATTGGACTGTCTAGCCTGGCCATGGGAAGTACCTTTATGGCATGAGGTTAGGAATTTTACAGTTTAAAGGAAGGAAAGGAATGGGTGGAGGGAGGGCTTTGTGAAAGCCTATGCTTTTCATTTTGCCCAGTCATTTGTGCTGCGTGGGTCTTAGAATGTATTCCAAGTAGTTTTGGACCTAGGGTTGACTTTGTCAATAGGAGTCATGTACATGGTCTGACATGAGGATCCAACTGCTTCCAAAGATCTTTACCACTGCCTGACAGTGCCTGAAATTGCAGGATTAGATATTCATTCCTTTGAATGTCAGAGTTTTTATTTTACAGAATTCTCTCTTAAAATATAAATGTCCCTTTTGAAGGATAAATGTCAAGTTCCTTGAAGTGATGGCAAATATATGTCACTGTATCCTGAGACTGTTTCCAGAGTATGGAAGTTTAAGGGGAACAGCAAGAGGTAAAGAAATGTGGAAAAGAATTTTACTGAGAAGATATTAGTGAAAAATTGCCTCTTGAGTCCCTGAATTTGTGTGGCATCCTGAAGACTCATTCTCATAAAGTTACAATCATTAACATATGTAAATTTTCTTATATGGATTCTTTTTTATACATGTTTTATTTTGTAGAACGTTGACTGGTTATTTAAAAAAGGCTAATTATTTAAAAAATCATTGTTAAGCATTACTAGTATATTTGTACTTTTCTGAAACTGTTCTATGTCCCAGATAATGGTGAAAAGAGAGATTTTTAAAAAATTTATCTGAATAGTGCTATTACATCACAGTGGAGGAAAGAATATAACATCATAAAATAAATTATTTATCTTTAAAACAATGAAACTTTCCTTTAGATGTGGTTGTGATGATTGTATACCCATAGCAAAGGCTGTTAATGTTTGAGACTGATGTTGCATTTTCAACAACATTCAATGGATCACTGAATTTATTATTTTCTTCTCCTGCTGTATCTATTACTTTGTCAAGTTACAGTTAAAACAAAATTAAGTTCCTACAGCACGGGTAAGTATAAACACAAAACACCCAATGTGTTAGGAGCTTCTATTCTAGGGTAACTGCTAAAGATGCACAAATAAAATAATTTATAAAAGAATCATGGCCTAATTAAAAATATTGCATAATAAAAATGTAAGGCCCAGCATATTTTTTATATTAGCCTGTGGGTTTTATAAGAGGTAGTGAGAAATCAGGGGTGTAATAACTGAGACCTTGAGTTTCCCCTTCTGTAAAAAATGTGGGCTAGAGGGGCGCCTGGGAGGCTCAGTCCATTAAGCTTTCAACTCTTGATTTCGGCTCAAGTCATGATCTCAGGGTTGTGAGATGGAGCGCTGGGTGTGGATCCTGCTTAAGGTTCTCTTTCTCCCTCTGCCCCTTCTGATGCTCCCACCCCCACACCCCCACACCCCCACTTGCACGTGCTCACAATCTCTCTCTCTCAAAAAAAAATGTAGGCTAGTGATACCTCTTGTATACCTGTGGGGCTGTTGGGAGAATCAAAACAGATTGTGTTGTGAAGGGCAATCTAAGCTAGCGTGGGTGAGATATTGCAAATTTTGTTCAGAAACATGGGGTAGGGATGACAAAAGTTCAGCATTATTGTCACTTCTGTTCATGTGTTGGGAGACTCGGAGGTTAAGTGGATGGAGTGTGGACTGTCTGGGGAGTCCATGAAGCCTTTGGAATGTGATTTCATTACAGTGTAGATGTGGTTTTCTGAGTGTGTCCGTATCTTTATCCAGATTCTCGGTCCTCTGCAATGGTGAAGTGTTAGGACAGCTGTCAGGGAGGAGGTATTTTCTGTATACTTTCCCAAATGATCTGAGTTGAAGAAACAGCTTCACAGACTGTCCTGCTTTATGGAAATTTAATCAAATCTTAGAGATGATGGAGCACAGCTGAAGGACCAAAGCATGTGCCTCTATTCGGAACACTGGTTCCTCGTCAGAGTCTCGCCTATCAAGGCTGGATTGATACACTTTAGATTTGACTTGCAATTCCAAATAATGTGCCAATTCCATGTCATGGCATGAAATATCACAAACATAATTTGCATGGCATTTGGGGGTATGCTGCATGGAATTTGGGGTTGTCTATAAGGATCTTGGTAAAAAAAATTTCATTTTCTTTGCATAATTATGATAGAGTAAGTAAAATACAATGAATTAAAAGGGTAAATACTGAATATATAAGGCCTTTCCAAATAAAATATCTTCAAATAATCTTAATGAGAAACTCAAGTTTGCTTTTATCAGTTTTAATGCTTGAAATGACTACAGGAAGTGTTTAATCAAAACCTGTAAATGCTGATCTCTTCAATTTTTTAAATATTTTTCATTAATGAGAAACTTAATTCAAAATAATTCTTTAAATGACTTACCAACTAATCAAAAATTCATAAGAGTTGAAATTATATTTTAAAGTAACTAGTAAAAAAATAAGGTACTTACTAGATTTTCCTTTTCTTTCCCTGAAAATTTCTTAGGCTAATGTGCTTGGATCCCAAATCCAATGGAACATTTCCATATCAAGTATTTCAAACTAACAAAGTTCTAACTTTGGGAATATGTATGCATTGCGGTAGTAGTCATCTTGCAACCAGCAAAGACAACGCTAAATGGACCATCAGCCACCAATGGGCAAAGAAACTCAACATGTGTGAAGACTCAGAGTCAGGGCTATCACATGCTGTTGGGCCTGCCAGGGGTCCCTGCCCTGTTGTCCTGGCCTGACTTCTCTAGTCTCCACCCCCTGACTGGCTTCTGAGCTCTGTGCCCTGTGTCCTTCTACTTGGGAGCATGGGGTATGATCTTCTTCAGTAGCTCCATGGCCCTTGGGCGGATGGTTGCCAGTGGGGAAGTAGACAGGCAGACGGAGTTCAGAGGAGGACTAGGAGGGGCTGAATGATGCACATCCCGCTTGCTGCCTCTGGGGACAATCTGGGAACACAGAAGGCATCAAACTCTGATTAGGTGGCTGGAGGCTAGAGACTGTGGCTTGGGGGCTTTGACCACTCCAGTCAGTCCTGCCCCTGAGGGCTGAGGAGATCAATATTTCTACTTAGAGCAAGCTAGCAGGAGAGTTCCCTACCAGGGTTTTTCAAACTTTGGGGTGTGTCAGGATGACCAAAAAGGCTTGTTGAAATACAGATGTTGGACTCCATGCTCACTTTCTGATTCAGTGGATCTGGGGTGCAGCTCCAGAATTTGCATTTCTAAGAAGTGTCCAGGTGATGTGAATGTTGCTGGTGGGGACCGAAAGGTTGAGAACTCCTGCTTTCAAGCATGGGGTTTCTCACAGGATTTAAGGTAATTTTCCACAGTAAGTTTCTAAAAATCAATCTTTTAAAGTATCTCTGTGTCTTTAAGAATTTTTATAGCATGCAAAAGGTTATTGCCATTCACAGATATAAGATACGTGGTTCGAAAATATGACAGCAGTCCAAATAAAATCATTTTTAATTTTGCTGAAACACAAATGTGAATGTCATGTTATACAACCACTGTGTGTCTCGGCTGCAGTCAGCGGCTGGTGAGTGAATCTACCCAAAGCCCAGCGTCAACGATTCGAACAGTCTTGGTTTGCTACTCATGGTTCTAGTGAGTTTTAAGTGAATACTTACATATTCGTATGCCAGGGTCATGAACTCAAACGCCGAACTGGTCCAGGGAAGCAATTTCAAATGAGTGGAAAGAGCTGGGGGGAGAGTGTGGCGAACTGGCAGGCTTGTGTCCATCCAAGGGCAGACACCTTCCAGAGCTCCAGCTGACAGATGCAGGTAGGAATGTGGGGCTGTTTTGCCATGTCTTCCAATTTTCAAGAGAATCAGAAATCCAAAGTTTTTACATGAATCCTTTTTTTTTTTTTTAAATGTCAGTTCTCTGGAGGCCCAACAAAACACATTTGCAAGCCAATTCTAAATTTACTTTCACCATCAGAAAATACCCCACAATTTGAACATCAGTGAAGATTTTGGAACCATAGTTTTTGTGAGTATCAAGTGCTCACTAGTCAATATTTCAAAAGGGTTCAATTTGGTTTAAATATGTGACTGCCCTTTAACAGCAGTTTTATTATAATGAAGGAAAGGAAATAAGTGTACTACTGAGTTTCATTCTCAGGGTCAGGAGATGGAATAGGAGTTTCTTCACAGAATCACTAAGACAAACTTTACGAAGTAGGCCTTCAATGCCACGAGTACATAATCCTGTGCCAAACAGAAATTGTTTTTTCTGTGTTGCACCTTATCATTATTCACATTCTTTTACTAGCCTGAAAATCATTTTGGGAAACAACCCTCCAGTTGTTGAGAGTAGATACAATTTTCCTAATGTGAAACAATTTGCCATGAAAATACTTTTACCCAAGGGCCAAAGTTGCCGTATGACAGCTGAGGTGTTTACGGTCCACTCCTAATTATCTAGAACCAGGCTGTTGGATTTTCATATGAATTCTCTGTTCCCTTCCATACCCTTTGACTATTTTATTGCTCGTACCCCTGCCATCATAAGCCTGGCAGATAGAATGATAGGATGTGGTTTTAAAAGCAATTCTTTTAGGAGTCAAGTTGAGAGATTCTTGGAATCTAAACCTTAATTTGAAGTTAGGGTTTTGGCATTTTCATTTATATGTTTTCGTGCCAATCCTGCTTTCATTTAAGTAGCTGAGGATGACTAGGATTTGTGTTTCTTCTCTTTCCAAAGCTCCCAAGATTTTTGGTGTTTTACCTTGAGAGGAAAAAAACACCAATCTTTTTATAAGGGAAGCAACAGGATAAAGGATGGATATCAATGAGAGTTAAGCAAAGGGTGGGTAGATGGAGGAGCCAGTGATGTCTTTGATAAAACACTTTGCATCTCTAGACCTTAGTTTCTTCCCATAGAGAATGAATAAAATTGACAAAATTAATGGTTTTCCCCACTATGAGCTGTTCCAGACTCTCCCTTGGTGTGCTGTTAGTAGATTCTTCTATGGATTGTAAAGGATAGAGCAGTGACTTTACCAGTCAAATCTTGCCCAAATGAAGTCGAACCTGTTTTAAAAAACTCCTAGAGTTCAGGAGTTTTAGGTAGATATTAGTCATGAAAGGGGGAAAAAGTTAAGAAAAGAGTAAAAAAAAAAACCAGCAAAACCAAACACCAAACTCTGATGAGCTGGAATATTATCCCTTTGAATTAACTATAGCTAATGGAGCAAAAGAATTAGTGTTTTCTCCCTCCATAGTCTGGAAAAACATGGCATGGAATAGCATCTTTCCAATGTCGTGTTATTCTCTTAAAGTAAAAGTGAAAGATATTATACTCTAGGTAAAAACAACCACAAATAGATTTCCCAGCTCTTCTTTTTATCACTGAATAATTGCAACCCGTGAGGTCAAACGCAGTTGAAAGTTAGCCACAGGCTTTTGGGATTGTAGTGATTACTTTGTAAAAGGAGTTAAATAACATGCTTCTCAGCTGAAGCCAGGGGATTGGACCACATGATCATTCGTGACCCCCCCCCCCCTTTTATACTAATGGTCAGCACTTCATTGTCAAATACTGTGATTAAATCTTTTGGAGGAAAGTTAAGAGACACATGGAATGTAATAGAAAATAACACGACCCACTTACTATAGATCAGCATAATTCTAGTATTGGTTGCAAGATTAATGGGGGGGAGGGGAAACAAATTTTTATTGAGTGTATACTATTGTTCCTTGAGCTGGAAATATGGGTGAACAAAATAAAGAAATCTTGCCTTTATGGATTCTACATATTACACACACACACACACACACACACACTCAGTGCTGCAAAGAGGAATAAGTCAGAATAAAAGAGTAGAGAGCGATGGCAAGAGTCCTGTTTCAGGCATCAGGGTGTTCTCTCTGGGGATGTGGCTTTATGGCAGAGACTTAAATGAACTGGAGGGAGAAACCATGCCAAGTTCTAGGAGAAGAATGTTACAGGCCAGAGAGCTGAGAGTATACAAACACCCTGAGTAAGAGGATGAGCCTGATGTTCTCGAGGAGCAGCTAGAAGGTGCATGTGACTGGAGTGACAAGTGTGGGTGGCAGGCGATCAGATCCGAGAGGAAACAAGTGATTTGGGGCCTTGTGGTAAGCAGATCAAGCAGTTGGCATTTCATCCCGAGTGTGTTGGGAAACCTTTGGAAGGTTGAGTAAAGGCTGGTGATGTGATTTAATTTACATCTAAAGAGCTCGCTTAGCTGCTATGTGTGAAGAGTAAAATCTGAGGCGGGCAAGAGCAGAAATAGGGACATCAGCCAGGAGCTGCCCGCAGTAGTAGATGGTGGCTCAGGCCAGGACAGCCGCGCAAATGGGTAAGAAAGAGGTGGTCAGATTTGTGGCATATTTTGAAGTTGGAGCCAAGGGGCCTTTTTGATGAATGGGAAGGGGATGTGAGGGAAAGAGATCTACCAAGATGACCCACCAGTCTTTGGCCTGATCAAATAGTTGGAACCATGTATGCGGAGGGGAAGAACTTGAAGAGGAGGCGAGACCAAGGAATCCCGAGTTCAGTTTGAGTTAAGTTTGCCTGTGAGGTATCCAAGCAAAGACATCGAAGAGGCAGTTGGATATCTGAGTTTGGTATTTTGAGGAAAGGCTGAGGCTGGAGATGAAAATCAGGGCATCATTAATGTGTAGATCATACTTGAAGCCTCTGGCTTAGATGGCTTCTTGAGAGAGAGTGTGGAAGGAAAACAGAAGAGACTCTGCGACTGAGTCCTGTGGAGCGCCAACATTTGGAGGTGGAGAGATCAGTGTGTGGAGAAGAGACACGGCTGAACGCTCTGGTTCCTGCCGCTTTATCCTGTTTTTAGGTAGTATGTCTATATAATCCAGAGGAAATAGCTGCAGTTTAGTAAGATTAAATTCACTGTAGTGAATGAAAAATCTCAGAAGTCCAGGGTGCCTGGGGTGCTCAGTCAGTTGAGCATCGGATTCTTGATTTCCACTCAGGTCATGATCTCAGGGTGGTGAAATGGAGCCCCGCATCAGCTCTTTGTTCAGCAGGGAGTCTGCTTGAGATTCTCTCTCTCCCTCTTCCTCTGGCCCTCCCCCCACTTGTGTGCTCTCTCTCTCTCTCTCAAATAAATAAATCTTAAAAAAATCTCAGAAGTTCTTAACAGAGATCACTTTACAAATATGTCAATCAAATGATAACCTCATTTATATATAAATATATATATGGCCCACTGAACTAGTATGATATGACGTTCAGCTATCTTAGCAATAGAAAGAATGTAGCAGTAGTCTATGGAGTTGCAGGACATCATCAAGATAACTAGCTGGATGATCATTAAACAAATACTATTTATTTGAATATTCCACGATTAAGGTATAAATACAAGTGATAAAGCTGGGATTGACAATTTCCCTTATTACACAGATGAGTTAAGGCCTTGATTGTGCTTGGTCTCAAGGTTTAGGAGACTTTTAAATTAAAGAGCAATTTAAAAGAAATGCAATTTAATGGCAAAAAATCAAACAATCCAATTAAAAAATGGACAGAGGGCCTGAATAGATATTTTCCCAAAGAAGACATACAGATGGCCAATAGACATCAATATCCCTAATATCACTAATCTTCAGGGAAATGCAAGTCAAAACCACAATGAAATATTACCTCATAAATGGCCACTATCAAAAACATAAGAAATGATAAGGTGGTAAGAATGTGGAGAAAATGGAACCCTGGTGCACTGTTGGTGGGAATGCGAACTGGTGCAGCCCCTCTGGAAAACAGTATGGAGAGTCCTCAGAAAGTTAAAAAAAGAACTACCATCTGATCCCGCAGTTTCACTTCTGGTATTCATCTGAAGAAAATGAAAACGTTAACTTGAAAAGATATATGCACCCCCATGATCACTGCAGCATTGTTTATAATAGCCAACATGTGGAAACAACCTAAGTGTTTGTATATTTTGCAAAGTGATCACCACAGTATGTCTGGTTAACATCCAACTTGATACATAGTTACAGAATTTGGGGGCTGAATGGACAAAGAAATGTGCTATTTATGTACACAATGAAATATTATTCAGCCATAAAAAAAGGATGAAATTTTTGTCATTTGCAACAACATGGATGGACCTTGAGAGCATTATACTAAGTGAAATAAGTCAGATGGAGAAAGACAAATACCATAATACTATATGATCTCATATGCGGAATCTAAAACCAAACCAAACCAAACCAAACCAAACAAAGCAAGCTCATAGATACAACGAACAGTTTGGTGCTTGCCAGAGGCGGGGGTAGGTGAAATGGGTGAATGGGATCAAAAGATACAGACTTCCAGTCATAATTTAGATAAGTTATGGAACATACAGCTTGGAGACTGTAGTTAATAATCCTGTACTTCATATTTGAAAGTTGCTAAGAGAGTAGATCTTAAAAGTTCTCATCACAAGAAAAAAAACTCTGTAACTATGTATGGTGATGGATGTTGACTAGATTTGTTATGGTGATCATTTTGCAATCTATACAAATATTGAGTCATTATGTCGTATATCTGAACCTAATATAGTGTTGTATGTCAATTATGCCTCAATTTTTTAAAAAGCAGTTCACATTAAAAAAATAGATTTTTTGCCCCAGTAGAAACATGGCAAATGATTTATACAGGCTAGTTAAAGGGAAGTACATTAGGATATATGCTGACATTTGTAATCGAGTAAACAGTTAAATGAAATATCAATTTTAATATTTTGGAGTGGCAATATTTTAAAAAGATGAGTATATATGTATTCACATACATTATTGGTGGGAATGTAAATTAGAAGAATTTTTCTAGACTAAAATTTCACAATCTGTAAATAACCTTAAAATATTTAGATTCTTTTTGAGAGCAAATCTGCTTCTAGGAATTGATCTTAAGAAAACATTCAGGGTCACCTGGGTGGCTCAGTCGGTTAAGTGTCCAACTCTTGATTTCAGCTCAGGTCTTGATCTCAGGGTCATGAGATTGAGCCCCACTTTGGGCGCCTGCTGGGTCTCTCCCTCCCCCTCTGCGCCATCTCCCTCACGCATGTATGTACACTTCTCTCTTTCTGTCTAAAAAAAGAAAAGAAAACATTCTGAGTTAGGTACTAAAATATTTGTAAATGTGAGAAATAAGAAACATCTTAAGAAAACAGTGGTGGGGATTGGTTAAATACATTATGGTATATGTATATGATGTGATTTCTCCACATGTTTTTGAAGACTTTCATGACCCAGATACACGTTCATTGTGTACCATGAGAAAAAGCAGATTATCACTGCACGCATTGCGATAGTAACTATATATACACACACATGCCTATATACACATAGAGGATGTGGAAAACCATCCGAAAAGACTTCTACCAAAGCATTCACGATCATTTTCTCTGGGTAGTTAGTTGAGGTGATTTTTAAATTCTCCTAATATCTTTTACATTTTCTAACATTTCTATAATATCCACGTCTTACTCTTACATTTAGAATTTTAAAAATGCATGGCGATTTAAAAGGGAGATAACACTCTCTCGGACACTTTTGTTTTCCTGATAACACCGTATTATTATAAAGTTTGTTCTCTTATTTACTATTATTGGACATTTGTGGCTTAGAACCGAAGAACTTTTATGAGTGGAAGAATTTTGTGACTCATATGCAACGGGTTCTTTCTTCTCGCAACTCGATCTTGTGACGGTGATGTCACCTGCTGCTTAAAGACGGCTGTCCTTGTACTATGCTGTATTGCACGCAAGATGCCATAAGGACAGAGGGAAATCTGGAAAGAGCCGGTAGTTAGCAGAGCTGAATTAGGTAATTCTGAATTCTTGGCATTGTATTACATGCTAAATAGTAAAAGGCTGAGTAACTATGTTGAATCAGTTATTTTCCTTTTGTGATGCAGGTTTTAATCCGATAGAGCCAAAAGATTTCTTAGGCCAGACATTTCAATTCTCTGAACTCTCAGGTTTAATCTGGAAATTGTTGAGGTAGGGAGAACTAGGAATTTAGATGGCAAGAAGGTCCTTTTCTTTAATCAATTAATACAATCCATTTGAGGAAGTAATGTGAAAAATACTGTAAAATTCATTATAGATAATGATGAGGGTAAAGATCCATATAGAAAAGCTCAAACTTTATATATATATACACACATATATATGTACACATATATATGTATACATATATGTGTGTATGTATATATATATGTACACACATATATGTATGTATATATATAAAGTTTGAGCTTTTCTATATCTATAATATATGTGTGTATATATATATATATGTATCTGTTTATGTGTGTCTGCTTAAAGTATTTAATTGGCTAAAATTATTTTTTTAAGTTTATACATGGCATGGATGTGAAACGACATGAAGTATGCTTTTCAAGACAGGATATCTCTGGCCTTAGGATAATTGTACAGTGACTCAGAAGAAAATAATATGAGTAAGTGGTAAAGTAATTGAGGCAACCCCATATGTGATTCAAGCAAAAAGAAAACAACTTTTCTCAACTCACCTCTAACACATGGGTTTCCCCTGAATGACCCAGATAATCGCTGTGATACTTAATTTCATTTGGACTATGGAGACCTGATTTTTAGCTTTTGGTTTCTATGTAGAACACAAGGAGGAAAAAAAAAGCATAAGCCCCTTCCTTTATGGAAATTCCCAATGAAATTGAAAAAGGAATAGCCTTGGGGTGCCTGGGTGGCTCAGTTGGTTAAGCCTCTGACTCTTGATTTTGGCTCAGGTCACGATCTCAGGGTTGTGAAATCGAGCCCCAAGGCTGGCTCTATGCTCCACAGGGAATCTGCTTGAAGAGTTGCTCCCTCTGCCCTCCCCACTCTCTCTCTAAAATGAATAAATAAATCTTAAAAAAAAAAAAAAGAAAAGGGAGTAACCAAAAGATTGTAGGGTAAACCAAAGACTTTAACTTGTTTCAGAAATCTTCTGAAAGAGATATTTAAATTCATTGAAGACAGGCTTTACGTTTTCCTTATTTAGTGCCAAACTATTTCCATCAGTTTCGGTGAAAGTAATCTGATGAAAGCATTATTTCTAATTAGAAAAAGGCAAAATGTCTTTACAAGATTATAAATTAGTTTTAACACTTATCTATTTTTAGAAGTTGCACTGCCAGGAAACCTGGGTATTTTCGAATTTACTTCTCAAATGTAAAAACAGAATTTGAACCGTGCCATCGGTATGATTTCAGAATGTTTTAGTGACTGAGGCTAAGAAAGACTTAACAAAACTGACAAACACTTTAAACAGAGCATGAACATTGATAGCCTACGTCTTTTGAGATGGGCTTGGTGGTGTGCACCTAATAATGTTTATTACACATGTGGAGTCTTTTAGGAGACACACAAGACTTTTTTGGCTGTTGTCAGAGTGAAATACTTGAATTACCCCTATCTAGTCTCTGATTGTTTACAATCTCCTCTCGAGGTGTCAGTGCGCTTGAATTGTACTTAAAACACATAAATCTTCCTTCAAAGGTAGCTTGAGAGCCTGAAGTGCAGCCAAGGAATTTTAAATGGAAAGGGTAAGCCAGGCCTACTTGGTCTTCTCAAAAGTAGAGATTTCAGTTTGTTTAAATTATAGCACAATCTAGACCAAAGAATAAAATCTCTATACTTTAGCTAAAGGAAAAAGTATAGCTGCTGTTGAGAAAAAAAAAAAAAAATTGTCATTACCGAAGACTCTTATTTATTTAAGACACCTTGAGGATGTATTTGGGGGTGGGTGTGTCAGTGGTTTGCAATTCTACCACAGTCTCCAGAAACCAACCAACCAACCAACCAAGTCACTCAGATACCTTAGTCGTTAATCACGCTGGCTTACTGGAATTTCTTATGTGGCCCCAACTTGGAGAAAAGTAAAATTTGTGAGGTTCATGAAAGACTACCGGCATTGATTCATCCTTTAAATTCTTGAATTCTAACAAGTATCCTCAAGTATTCATTCATGCTCCCCTTATTTCCCTAATGTATCATTTATATCACAAAAGTGCACATTTGGCATTTTTTAAATCACAAATTATAATTCTGCACTAAAAGCTGCAATATATCAAACTGAGTTGAGTCCCATGTATCTTTTGTTTGGCAGGAACTATTCTGGTGCTTAATGAAGGCTGCTTTGGCTGATCCCTCTGTGCCTTAATTTGTCTGGCCACAGTAGTTGGTTTCTGTATTCTCCAGAAAATGGTTCTGTAGCCAGTGTTTTTTATTTATATTGCTTCATAGCCATTGCATGCTTCATTTTAGTTGGAAGCTTATTTTCTTTTGGCTTTCCTTGCCAGCAAATTATTCTCCACTTTCTGACTTTATCGTTTTTATTATGACAATCTGGGAGGGGAGAAGTACAAATCCGCGTGCCACGATCCAAACACTTCTTTTGACATTTGGGTGAATGCCAAGACTTTGGTATCTGAAAACAAAGCTAATACTTGAAAGAGCCTTTCACACAGTTGATACCTTTCCCACCAACATTACACTGGATGATACAGTTTAATGAACATTTGTATGTTCATGTCAAAAGCTCTCTCCCCCATTGCTAATCTAAACCTTTTGTTAGTCATTATTTTCTGAGAATCAGTGGCACCCTGGCACCCAGGGAATAATTGAAGTAACAATTATTTCTGGCTTATTTTTTTTTTTAAGATTTTATTTACTTATTTGAGAGAGAGAGAGAGAGACGGAGAGAAAAGGAGGAGGGGCAGAGGGAGAAGGAGAGAGAGAATCTAAAGCAGACTGGGTGCTGAGCGTGGAGCTGGGGCTCAATCTCACGACCCCGAGATCATGACCTGAGCCAAAATCAAGAGTCGGGCCCTTAACCGGCTGAGCCACCCAGGTGCCCCAATTCTGTCTTGTTTTTTGCTATGATTGGTAGAATAGAGACTGTGTTGAGGCTTCTATTCTCAGCTTGTTGGCTCATGTATTTGGCCAATGGTAGTTGCTCTTCAAGAGAAATGTGAGAGAATGGCAACTGGCTGTTGAATTTAAGTGAGGATTAGAATATAAAAACAGAAAACTGGTATAGCAATTCTCTTTTTTCCCCTGCTAACTTTATTATTATTATTACTATTTTTGTCTCTTCACCATCTTGATTTATGTTTCCTGGAGAGTCCTAGATGGAAAGAAGCAGAGCCCATGAACAGTTCCCTATCTAGTTACTTTCAATTTGGTCATACTGCTTCATTTTCTTCACAAGCCTTGTTATTATCTGAAATTATCTTCTTAGTGCATTTGTTTGCTTGCTGATTCCCCTGTCCCATGCTCACAAGAATAGAAGCTGCAAAGCGTGGGGTCTCCTCTGTCTTACTCAGTATTGGTATCACCAGCACCTGTAACAGTCTGTAACAGTGCCTGGCCCATAAAGGGGCTTCCACATGATCTGTTCAGTGCATGAGCAGTAGGCTATGTCATTAGAGTGTGACGGATCAAATTGTGAAACTGTAAGTTCTGTGGGTGGTGAAGAGACACTTTCCTCTTAACTTTAAAAAACACCTCATCCGATTTATTTGGAATATAATTTAAGAATGAAAGCTATAAGAATTACTAGAGAAATGCATGCTCAGGTAAGGGGAAACTTGAAGAGGATACGTGTAAGAACAATGTATGCAGGGACAGGAGAGAAAAATTCGACAAAATTTATAAAGAAAATAAACTGCTGTTAGGGATATGGGTTTTCTCATGCTGAGTTCTCTTTTTTTGTGGAGGGCACTCAGATAGCATAACTTTCCTGGCTTCTCTCTGCCCCCTCATTCACTCTGCAATGGGGGAGTTGGAGTTACCTCTGCTTGATGAGGGGGGCAGGAGAAGTTCAGTGCGTTCCCTTCTCTCTTCCTCTTATGAGTGGGCTTCCCAGAGAGAACCTTCTTCTTTGCATTTCCATGTCATAAATATAACAGAAGCAGGTCCCCGGGAAGTGCACATGTCTAGAATGGAGAAGTCTTTCTAATTTTTTGAGGTTTAATATTATGAAGTTCACTTGTCCACTTTCTCTAATAACGCCTTTATAAGGAATAAAGGTAATATTTTGGCAGCTGTAAGATAATAGTTCCATGGTTGAAGGGGAGAAGGGCAATTACATTATTTAAAGTTCTCATACTATACTTGAAGTGATATAATATTATGAAGGTAGACTGTGACTAGTTAAAATGCATATTATAAACCCTAGAGCAATCACTAAAAAAAGAGATATGTCAGTTAATAGAGGAGATAAAATGGAACACAAGAAAATATTATACCAAAACCCAAAAAGGGAAAAAATAACAAAGAAAAATGAAAACAGATGAGAAAAATAGAAAACAAATAGCAAGATGATAGACTCAAGCCCAGCCATATCAATAATAAAATTAAACGTAAAATGTCCATAAACATTCCATTAAAAGGGAGAGGTTGTCAAAATGGATAAAAAAAGATCAAGACCCAAATGTACGTTACCTAGAAGAAAGGCACTGTAAGTATAAGGATAGATAAGTTGGAAGTAAAAGATGTACCCTGCAAATACTAATCAAGAGAGAGATGGACTGCCTATTTTAGTATTATACAAAGAAGCCTACGGGACAAGGAATACCAGCAGAGATAATCATGAAAGAGTCAA